CGCGCGACCCGGGGAAGGGTGCTCGGGGACCCACGCTAGCTGTGAAGGCCGGGCCGCGAGCCCCCTGGAGACGGCAGCTCGGAGGAGCGCCGCCGCGGCTGGACGGGGCGCCCGGGCAAAGTCCTTGAGAAGAGGCGGGGGGTCTGAGCCGCAGGCCGCGGGGGCCGCGGTAGGCGCGGCCGGGCGCAGCCGGGAAGACGGAAGAGCCTCGTGGGTTGCGCTGGGTTTTGTTTTTTCCCCTGGAGCGCCTGGGTGCGGTCCTTGAGCTTTTGAGCTCAAAGCTAGCACTACCGTCTTAGCCCTCGCTCCACTTCTTTTTTGTGGATTAACTGGAGGTAAGAATCTCACAGCCTTCGCTGCGAGGGCTGGCTTCAAACCCTCAGATCTCTGCTTACTGAGTAGCTGGGATTACTGGCATGTTTAAGCCCCGGGGCTTAAACAACCATCGTTTACTTAAATTATACTTGAGTTTAAAGCTACCTGAGAAGAAGCGGGGTTTGCTGTGTTAGCATATCTTTGGGGGAAGGGGCCTTTCGCGGTGTAGCAGGAAAAACAACCTTGAAGTAGAGACTATCCAGCCAAATTCCTGAGGTGGGAGGCAGCAGAGATCCTTCCGTTGGAAGTGAAGGAAGGATAGGCCCCAGGCATGTTGAGGAACCTGGGCAAGGAGCGTGGCAACTGAGCTCAACTAGAAAGGACAGGGTCAAGGCTGGGAGAGTGGCTCCGTGGTGGAGCGCTTGCCTCGCACGCCTGAGGCCTTGGGTTTGATTCCTCAGCCCCACATAAAACAGAAAAATCCCGAAGTAGTGCTGTGGCTCAAGTGGAAGAGCGCTAGCCTTGAGCTGAAGAGCTGAGGGACAGCGCCCAGGCCCAGAGTTCAAGCCCCAAAAATAAAAAATAAAAAGAAGGAAAAGAAGAAAAGAGAGGGTCAGAGATGAGGTACGAGGAGGATAGGGCCCGAGGGTGTAGGGTAATACTGTTCTCTATGAATTTTTTTTCCCTACATCATGAGACCAGATGAAGTAGACTACAGTGAGCCTCTTATCTATTTTAAATAATACAAAATTTATAATCATGACTCCAGGCTTGTCATTTGTCATACAGTTTGATTTTGCTGTGATATTCCCCCCTTAGGCTAATGTTTAAAATGCAAAAATAAACCACTGTTGTCATATTTCCCTAAAGGAATAGAATGGAAGGAAAACCAAGCACATTTGAAATCCACACTTCAGTATCAGGCAAGAAAAAGAAGTATTCTGTATATAAGGAAAAAGCCCAGAAATGGGGTCAGGAAAGTTTCTGCGACTTCTCTGTAGCAAGTGACCAGCCTCGGGTAACTAAGAAGAAGAAGAGGAGAAAGGATTTCCAGCAGCTCATGTCCCCTTTAGAGAAGTCAGAACTGTGTGATGAGACTGAAAAGGCTACTTTGACACACAAAAAGAAGAAAAAGAGACAAAACATTGTTTGGGGAGTCGAGGAAACTGGTGTTGTGCGAGTCCTTGTGGATAAAGAAAACATTGAGAACATGCCAAAGAATTTTAGAAAGAACATGGATGTGGTTTATGTTGCTATGAGCGAGGAACAAAAATTAGCAAAAGCAGATAAAACAGGTAAACTGAATACAGTTGCTAAGATGCATAAAAAAGCATCAAAAGAACTACATAAAAAAGCTAAGAAGAAAACAATTAAGACCCATGAGGGGAAGGTTGCATCCTGTGACGTTGTACAGGAAAGCCAGAAGGCAAGCGATACCCTACCCCCGTCAGACTCACACACACAGCAGACCTTGCCTTCTGTGGATCTCCAAGGCAAAAACACAGATCTGCCAGTGTCTCCTAAGAAAAACAAGTCTAAGAAAAAAAAGAAAAAAGGGTCTGCTAACCAGGAATTGGAGACCATGGCCATGCCTGAAAGTCTTCATCTCACCCCATCTGAAGGACCCCAGGTGGTTAGCAAGGTTAGGACTGAGGAAGGAGGTAATGTATCTGAAAAGGCTAAGGGATCCCACAGCATGAAAAAAAAATCCAAGAAAAGGGAGCCGGTGCTTGCCAAAAGCACCCCAGCAACTGGTGATGAGGTCTCATTGCTTAGTATAAACACGGAGAACACACTCTCTGACTCTGCAGCAGGTGAGGGGGTCTTGATGGAAGAAGATGTGAACCCCAGGCCGCCAAAGAAGACCAAGGCCTCCCGGGCCAGTTCAAGAGAAAGGCGTGTGGAAGAGGGACAAAGGTAATTTATAATTTCTATTGGCTTCAGTACAACTTTCTGTTCTTTTTTTCAGCACATATTAACTGGCAAAAATCAGAGACAGTCACACATGCAGGATAATGCATGAAAGGATCCATCACATCATCCCAGGGGGCACACAGAGGCAGGCAGGCACAGGAGAAAGATGACAAGGTTTATTAGAGGAGCCATATTTCTCCCGGAGAGAGAACATGTGGAGACCTTCACTATCTAGGTAGCAGCAGGGTGGGGGGG